AATGAACTACACTATATGTGGCTTCACATGTGCGTGCTAGTCAAAAAGGTACGGATAGTCCCTAGCATAACATGGATAAAAGGATAGAACAGTCTGGACTGATCGACCCATATTTGGGATGCGCCATGCTGCGTGTTAACTCAGCGTTGCAGTCCCTTTAGAATTGCAATCGTCCTACACAAAGATTGGAAAGTTTTTCGTGGGACGATTGGGTGCCTCATCCTTCCCAAAAGCATTCACTGGGAAGCAATTCGCAGTCCTAGAAGAGGCGAGCTCTGATAGACACTGGGAGCCTGTCTGGGATGCTGATGCTGGACCATAAGTGTGGGAGCGGATCAACTTGTCGAAAATCTGTAACGCGCTTTGCCTCCATCAAAAAAAATGCATGTATATGAAAGTATGGTATCTACACGACATTCCGAACTTCTTTTGGGATGCGCCACGCACTCTGTGCTAAGTCAGCATTGCGGTTATTCCGCAGTATACTGCGAAGATTTCTCATCCTGCGAGATCATATCAATTTTCTTGAAGGCTGTTATATAAGTGATGAGGCATGGTTAGGCCGACCCAAGCGGGGCTGGAAGATTTTCAGAAGCGATTCGGACACCACAGTTTCCTGTATCACCCGTATCCTGTGCTCCCGTTGACCACATCGAGTTCCTTGAGCGATCGCCAGTAACGTCTCCATTCGTCCCTGCAACGTGCAAGAGTTGCCCAATGAACTCTCTCTGCTCGAGGGACACGATGAACTTCATACCATTCGTTCAGAGCTTTCACGAAGAAGTCTGACCATCGCATAGGCGGTCGTCCAGGCGTTCGCTTGACATCCCGTGGAATCCAGTCGGTGATCGCTCTGTCCAGTCTTCTTCTCTAACGTCAATTACGTTCCCACACCTTTATTCTTCAGAAACGTTTTCAAAGATCATCGTCTCCTTTGTTGATGCACTCTCTCGCGGCCGGCTGCTGCGGCCACCCACCGGGTTTTTCGCAATGCGACTCCCAGTCACGCATTGTTTACTACATGGTCCCAACGATACTGAGGCTTCTTGCCGACACTATTATTCCCTAGAGGTCATTCACACTTTTTTTCCCCTGGGAGGACCATTAGCCATTACCTAAGTGCAGACCACGATGAATCGTTTTTCTGTGTTCAGTACCCTTTGTAGAATGCGCCATTTACTTGTAGCTTTTACCGTTTTTCGTAGTTTTTTACCGTTTGAGTGTTTTTTGAACGTATCCAGGGAGCTATTAAAGCTTACTGATGTACAATCTTATTTAATACAGGGTGGGGAGCAGTTCATCTTGGTGGGGGCATTTTGCGATCATCACCGATGCCTCCTGTGGAGGTTTGTAAACTCCAGTAGAGCTATGCAACAGCAGGAGCTTAGCTTACACTTGGCAACATCTACAGGTCTTACCAAGGTATAGCGTGTAACTTAACAGGAACTTGCAAATGAACTAGAGAAAGCGCAAAGTACCCTCCCTAGCCTGGTCCAGCCAATCAGCGCCCAGGGTGCTAATAAACTTAGAGGGGCAATTAAAGGACTTCTTCTGCAAATTAGATACAGGGTAATGGAGATAAGGACTTCTGCCGTAGCCGAAAGGGGAAGGAGCTCCTAAGAAAGTAAACCCAAATCTTTACCGATGATGTTAATCCCAATTAAATAGCACAAGAAGCTCTTTGAAACAGGGCACGTCCTGCCGGTGGGCAAAAACTCAGCAAAATACGATCCCTCTTCCCTCACAATTTCCTGCTCAGATTCCCTTCAACGATCCCCTTTCCCTATCCCCATCACGTCTGCATTCTTGTTTTCCTCACTTCCTACCCCTCTCAGAAGTTTTTTTTCCCAAAAAAAACTGTTGGGGAGAGGGAAAGGAGAGGAACATACAGCGCCCTGAGACATAGAACTCGATAAAAGTCAAGGGATTGACAACTGAAAACATTTTTCGCAAAGCCAAATACACCCCCCCCCCCTCTCCTAACTGTGATCCCCAGCGTACAATGTCTGATAAAGTTTAGTACAAGCACAGTGAACCCGACCGGCGAGACAGTATAATCTTACCCTAGATTTGGGTGGATGTTACTGCGAGTAGTTGACATGCACTATCCTAAGGAAAAGCACGGTTGTTTACTGACTTGAAGACACCCTCGCACTCAGTGAAGTGCCCAATCCTTCTCTCAAATGGGTAGCCTGGGCCCGCAAACGTCAAGGGAGACCGTTTTCGGGGCTAAAATGTGCGAGCTGCAGGCTTAGCGTCTCGTCTTGAAGATGATCTTGACCTTGTTGAGCCGGGTACGTCTTGCCGCTGTTGAAAGTTTTAGCAAAATACGACCTCTTCAATATTCTGCCCTCTTGTACGACCCCTCCTTTCCCATCGCCCAACTTATGTGCTATCTCCCCTGAATTTTCTCATCTTCTTACCACTTTTCGGGACTTTTTCTTCCAAAACGTCTCCAGTTTATCCACAAAAATGCCGTGAAGCACGTTTGTTGAGGTTGGTTCTGTGCTGCTTTGTTCCTCAGTTAGTTGTCACCAACAGTTTTGTTTTTGAAACCCCATTATCTACGAACTCAAACCGCAGGAATGTGTCGTTAAGTCAGTGAAGCGTGAAGCCATAGCTTTCGGGGTTGTACTTAATGAAGGAGCACCTCTTTGTTTTCCATGTCGTCCACTGTTTTGATCTGAAATTACACTTCCACTGAAAATCATGTGATGTTTACAAGCAGGTACCACTGGGCTCAGTCGATATAATCTCTCTCGTTTCACCGTGGTTGTTACTTAATTTTCTTTGCTCCCATTGCCTCCGAAATCTGTTCAACATCGCCAATTTTGAGATTTGGAGAATACCGTCTGGTGTGGGAATCCATCGCGTGGGAGGTCGTAATGTGATCGAAAAACACGCTGTTTCGAAGCGCGAATGATTCGTTGGCACTTAGCCAAGATTGTATTTATCATTTGTATACTACCAGCTCATTAGCAGTTTTGGAATGGGTCTAGCAGCTAGTGAGTCCAGCAGTCAGGGCACTTTATTGTTGCGGAATCCAAACAAGGGGCTGAGAAAAATTTATTTTGATAGTTGATTTTTCTCGCTTCACGGACGTTGTAAAAGGGGGGGTCGTACTTGCTCATTGTTGGGAGGGGGGATCGTATTTACTTTCTGGCCTTCTGAGAGGTGGTTGACTTTCGTGATTTTCCTGTCTCATGTGTACTATATACCCCTTTCCGCCCCCTCCCCACCCCGTCCTCCGCTGGGCGGCTGGATTCGACGATTCGATGAGGAGGGACAGAGGGCCGGAGAGGGGTCGCACTAACCTCCCAAAAAAAAAGGGGGGGGGGTGTCGTGCGGACTCGACCGAAATCCCCAACCAATGATGTGCCCTGGTCTAGCTTGTTTGATAAAAGTCGAGAGTGTGTCATTTTGTGGTCCACGGACAACTTGAACTCAGTCCTTTCAATCACGCCAACTTTCCGTTTTTCTCTGCGCTCTCTCTTACCTGCACGACACTGTAGGACCACTGTGACCTCACACATTCTACCTTTTCGTCCATTGAGTATCTTACTCGTACCTCCCACCTCCTCGCACTCCCTCTCGACGGTAAAATTTTGGAGAAACCTTGCGAAGGGAGGGGTCGTTACAATGAGCAAGTTGGAGGCGGGTCGTCTTTATCCATGATTTACCATAGCGAAGCCCTTTCCTGTTTTTGACACCCCCCCCTGACCACAAGCACTCCCCATTCTCTTTCCCATGTTTCTTTCTCTGCACTGGTAAACCAGCACTTCAGCTTTTCCACTCTTCTGGGGCCCACTCCACGACAATCGAATGGGTGGGACTCATAGCTATGGTGTATTTATCACTGGCTCTTTCCTATTTATGGCAGAAGGAAGAGCGTACGAGTGAGCAAAACACAGTGGTTGTGATTCCCGCCTATTCACTCATCGTGGAGTGTGTGTTTGAAGGGTCATTTATTTCCCTCCTTTTTTATAGTGTTCTTCAATTGCTGACTATCTCATCTCGAATGGAAGTTTGTGTGTTTTTACATCAGGGAATATTCGTCACTATCCACAACATACTGCCAACTCTTTGAAGGTTGCGCCCCACGCTCATTTGGTGTTCCCTCGCCCATTTCTGCCCTCCCTATGAGGATGCTTATGTTACTACGTTTTGCATCTCAAAAAGGAGAGAGGGTGAGCGCCGTTCGTAGTGAAAGTCGGCCGCCCGCCCACCTGGCCAGCAAAGGGTTCTATACAGGGCATTCCATGATTTTTTTCTGCCTTTTTTTCACTACTGGATCACGTATTGAGCTCCATAACTCATTATTCTTGAAAGCGGGCTCAGCCTTTAAAGGCTAAGCCAAAGCAGTTATGGCAGCCAGGTGGGCGGGCGGCATCCTCTTCACAAGCGGGTGGCGACTTTTGAGCTGCGAAATTAGTATATCCTCCATCTTGTCGACAAAGCTACGACATCCAAGGAGGGCTTGCGAACATCAAATGAACGCGGGCGCTTCCTTTAAATCTGATGTCACTTCAGATCGAAAATCCCCCAGATACAGATTTCGGCCAAATTTCCGGAAGTTTAGTCGAAACCCTTTTTCGTGGGGGGGGGGGAGGTTAAACCCTCCAAACGCGACCATTGCATCCTTACAAAGTGGAAACGCTTGACACCTCCCACCACAGGCGCTGCGGTGTCGCAGGTAACTTTCGGCAGTATCGAGAGTAGTGCACATGCGAGCATCATGCACATACTAGGCGTTTTCGCTCCAAGCTTACATGATGCTCGTATTCGGGAGGGGGGGGGGGGAAGGAAGGAGGGAGACGGGTGTCAGACTCCCGCTTTTGACAAGTTTTGAGCACATCTAACTTTTTGAAGTGTTTTTGCACCGGCGCGAGAGCCAGACGTCTTCGAAAGGGTCATACTACCAAAGGAGACTATTTCAGTCAACTCTGTCCTGTTATCATGAATTTATTATTTAATTTATTTATTATCATGAACTTTCAGCTATGGAACTCTTGTGTCCCTACCTCAATCAGTTCTACGGTATCGATCGCCTGGAACGAGCCCTTTGCCCATACTGGACAGATGCTGACCATTCGGTATTGCATGTAGCCAACGAAACTCAACAGGTATCGCAATCCTACCTTCTCATGTAGGCTTCCCGAAAAGAATGTAGAC